TGCAGAGAGCGCCCGCCCGAGTGCAGCATAATTCATCAACCGTCGAGCGCGTTGTCCTTGTGCTGCGCAGTGCATATTGAGCGTGAGTTGGAGTCGGGATAGATTGGGCAGCCCAGCCACGCAGCTTTTCGCGCGATACCGAAACGGCCCCCTAACCTGCGCTGATCTTCGGAGAGGGCCATGCGCCCATCACCTCTCACCACACGAGAACTCCACCACTGACGCCCGCGTCCCTGGCACCGTCCCTGGCCCTGGATCTATACTCGCACCGGACCCATCGTCGCATAGCACGGCGTCTCTAGACACGTTCGCCGCACTGCCTCTGCTGCCCCCCAGACGGCCCATCTCCCGTTCCCACTCCACCGCTCTGCTGGCGGGACGGATGCGACACGATATCACCCGACACGACACCGCGCCAGACGTGGCTGCACACCTCACCACCCCCTCGCCGCTCCTGTGAGTATCGCGCTGCACTTTGCGCGACGTCCTCCGTGACCCTCGCCCTTTTTCCTGTAACCGGCAAGTGCCGCCTGCCGGCCTCATCGCGCCCATCGCGACTTCTGCGCGGGCACTTCCTCAGCCTCCCATATCGGCCACACCGGACCGCACTTCGACTTTCCATCGCGACCACCCAGCACTCTTCAGTTCTCATTGGCATCGACGCGAATTTCCGCGCACGCATGACTTGGACGCTGTAGCATTGCTCCGCCTGTCTCGTCGCCGACTCGGTCGTTCTTCGCATCACGCGGACCCGTCTTCTAATCTCGACACCTGTCGCATCCCTTCTACCTGATCCATTCCCGCGTCCGCGAGGCCACAGCCCGCACTGAAGAGCCGGCAAGATGATGACAACGAGCTATCCGCACAATGGGGGCATGCAACCCCAGGGCATGCAGCACGCGCACCCAGGCATGGGCGGCCCAGGCCCACACCCAGGACAGCCTGGAATGCAGCCCGGCATGCAGCACGTTTCCGGTCCCAATGGCCCCGTCAGTCAGGCAGGGCCCATGATGGGCATGCAGCCGGGCATGGGTGCCAATGCGCATGCCCTCTCCCACCTACAGCCGCAGCAGCACATGTTCCAGCAGCAACAGCAGCACCAGATGAGTGAGTACCGCCGCTCCGTACCATGGCAGAGCATTGGCTAACAGAATCGATAGTGAACCCTGCAATGATGCAACAGCAGAGAACTGCCCAACAGGCCTTCATGCACCGTCAGCAACAACAGGCTATGCTTGCCCACCAGCAGGGCGGCATGGGAATGGGGTTCCAGAACCCCATGGCAAACTTGAACCAGGCACAAGCACAGCAGCTACAAGCAATGAGAAATGGACAAATGGGGCAAGGACCGTTCGTCAATCTTCCTCCCCACTTGCTCCAGCAACAGCAGCAGATGGGCCAGCAACCCGGAGGCCCGCAGCACCAGGCTGCCATGGCCCAAGCAGCCCATCAACAAGCTCAACAGCATCAGCAAATGCAGGCGCAGCAACAAGCGATTGCGATGCAACATGCGCAGTCTCAGTCGAGCAACCACAGCCAGGCAGGGAATCAGGGACCGCCGCCGACCACCCAGCCCCAGCAAGGGCCTCTTCGCCCTCCATCCGCGATAGGGAGTCACCAGGGACAATCTTCGCCGGCTCCTCAACCTACACCCCAACAGCAACCACAACCACCGCCCCCGTCACAGCAACAACAACAGCAACAGGCACACCAACAGCAGCAGCAACAACAGGCTCAACAACAACAACAACAACAACAGCAGCAGCAGGCGCAACAGCAGGCTCAACAACAAGCACAGCAACAGGCACAGCAGCAGGCGCAACAACAGGCACAACAACAGCAGCAACAGCAACAGTCATCCCAGCCACCACAATCAGGTCCAGTGCCACAACAGCAGACGCCAGCTCCGTCTCAGCCGCCAAATCTACCTCAACAAGCGAACCAGCAGGCCCAGAACCAAGGTCAGGTACAACGGAATCCGGCACTGGTACAGCAGGCACAGGCACAGGCGCAAGCGAACGCTGCCCAAAATCAAGCCCGTCAAATGGCCATGATGCAGCAGAAACAAGCACAGAGCGTATCTTCGGGCCAAGGGACGCTTAAGCTGCTGAACTTTGTGGAGCAAATAGGGAACTTCAATGCCTCGAACAACAACATTGAGTGGTGGCAGGCCTTCGTCGATAGGTTCTTCGCCGAGTCTGGGTCTTTCGTCCACGTCGTCTGCTCCTCAAGTACCGAGAGAACGAAGCAGTTCGAGATCGTGTACGCTGCTTTGCCGCGGTACTTCTACACCCTCTTCAACACCGACGTCACCAACTTGCAAATAACTCTAGACGGGGCGGCCGAGAAGACCTCAAATGGTGAGCTCAAAGTGACTTGCGAGCGAGCGAAGTTCATATACACATACAAGAACTCCTGTCAGGTTGTCTACCAAGGCAAGTTGACTGCATTCTGGTCTGGTTCAGATAAGATGGAGTGGTTGGTATTTGAGGGAGCGAGCCATGAGCAATTCATACCGCTCAATGCGCTGAAGCAAATGTTCGTCCAACCATCACCGAACCAACTGAACCCCAACCAATCGCCACGCATGAAGAACAAGAAGCAAGCACAACAGCAACGAACCATGCCAGAACCACCAGAGGCGTATCTGCCTATCAACAAGTTGATCAGCGCTAGCACCACAGACTATGGTTTGCCGCACGGCTTGCAAAGCTATCTCGAGGTAAGAATCTTCTCCACGTTTCCCTCCTCGGCATTGACACTGACATCAGTTTCTAGATTTACGAGCCAATGAACCACATGACAAGCTTAATGGTGCACTACCTCGAAAATCCCCATATGAAGCCAAGCGAAGCGTTAGAGTCATGGAACAATAACATGTCGAGTAGCCAGGGTGCTCTACAAGGCCCGCAACACCCGAACCAGGGTCCACAGCAAGGACAAGGCATGCCACCCAACATGCAACCTGGGCCTCGACCAGGGCCTGGCCAACCCGGTCAGATGTTCATGTCGCCCGCAATGCAGAACTCCCTGCTTCCCAACGGATCAATGGGCGGTTCACCTCACTTCCAGCACACACCGTCGCCCAACTCGCAGCCCATGATGAAACAACAGAGCACAAGCTCGCACACCATGAGCTCGAACACGTCTCCCAACATGATGAACAACAAGCGGCGGCGGAGTACAGCCAAAATGGAAAACGACGACGGTGGCGGAGAGATGAACGGCGCGCCAAAGGTCAAGCAAAGTCCAAGAGTCGGGGGTAACAAGAGGATGAAGGCAGGCCAATAGCCTCCATCGCTTGTTCACCTGCCTTCCCTCCTTGCCGGTGCCTCTATGCGATGCTCGTTCCGCTTTCTCGCATCTCTATCTCTTGTATAGCGCGGCGTTTGATCTCTCTCACACTCTCAGTCTCGATTCTCATATCGTGCTCTTGTCTTTCACAAGTCTTTCTCCCTTGGCGTTAGATCTCCACACTATTACCCCATTTCAACTCGGGTGGATCTTTCCTGCTTTGCTTTGCTTTTGCTTTGCTTCTGAGACTTTTGCTGGCGTCTGGGGGGCGTAATCTTTGCTGTTGTTGTTGCTACTGCTTGGTTATCACATTGTGTCTCCTGTTTCCATTTTACCTACCCCTCTGTAGGTTACATAATTCGTTCTTGTACATTATCGACGATGAGGTGGAAGTAAGGGCTGTATAGAACGCAGCTTCAAGAAGGGAAGAAAGAAGTGGTCTTGTTAGGGGCCCTTTTTTGGTGGCTTTTTTTTTGGTCTTTGTTTGGAAAGATGGGGGCCTAGTCAGATGATTTATACGGCCCCGTTCAGTGCATAGGCGAGATATGTTGATGTTGAGATTCATTTTTATACGGAATTCAAGACGTTATGACTTCAACTTGCTGTTTGTTATGCTGTGATGCCTATGGGCATTGAGATTATTATCCAGAGTATGCATTCTCGAAAAGACGGCATTCACTACTAATTCCTCGCGTCGCTCATCTCAAGGCAGTGGTTTTACAATCGTCTCCTCATCCACAGCAATATCCCCCATCTCCCTAGCAAAAGCCCTCACCCTCGCCAACCTACCCACCACAGCTTTAATCAACGGCCATCTATCACATCCAAGCACAAACACCCCCCACAACTGCGCCTGCAACACCTGCGGCACAAGACACACATCCGCCATCGTCACCTCATCACCTACGCTATACCTCCCCCCACACGTCACCAGCATAGCCTCATAAGCATCAAACCCCTCATTCAATTTCAACCTGATAAACGTATTCCGTCCCTCCTCCGTCGCCTTCGCAACCTCACACAACCTCACCCCATTCCCCCGATTCGCAAAAGGAAACATATCCTGCGTCACCACTGCAACCAACTCTCTCACTCGCGCTCTGTCCTCTCTGTTGCCTACCAGCGGCATCAACGGACATATCCCCGGAAACATCTCGTCTAGATACTCGAGAATCGCTGTAGACTGTGTAAGTACGAAACGTTGCTTGGTCGAATGTCCTGGTGTGGTGATTTCGTGGATTAGAGTTGGTACGGCGCCGCTGGGGTTTATGGCGAGGTACTGTTTTGTGCCAATGGAGGTGCGTGTGTATTTTTCTACGTCGTGATAGAGTGTGTTGGGTACTTGTTTTAGGGAGAGGGCGATACGGACTCGGCGGGCGCAGGAGGAGCCCTGTCGATTGTAGAGGTGGTATGTTGATGTTGTGGGTGTGGAGGATTGGCGGCGGGATTCTGGCATTGTGGGAGTTGGGAAGATTGACAGACGCGTGATGTTTTTGTTGTTGGTTCAGATGAGTAGCGTCTTGATATAGGACACTATAATGGGAAAGACGATGTGGGTCTTGGAAGCGGTAGGAGTGAACGAGAGGCCAAGGCGCTAGGTGCTGATGGGTTAGCGCAAGCTCCTACCGCTACTTTACTGCACCTACTCTCATCGCGTCGCTCTTAGTCGTACCTTCAAGTTACACCAAATAAGTACGCCAAACGCCATGCTACCACCAATTGATCCCGCGGTGCTGCAGCGCAATCCCAACTTTGAGATCTTATACAAGGACCTTTGCACGAGGAAGCTTAATCCTAATGGCTCGTCAAGAGACACGAAAAAGCAGCGTGTGCATGATGAGATACGAAGGGTAAGACCTTGTTTCCTTCCTCTGTTCCGAAGATGGTCCAAATATTTACCATGTCCCTGATCTCGTACTTTCGTTCCCTGTTGCTGGAATCTGTTCATTTGTTTGTTTATAATCATTCTATCATGTCTCTGTTTGTCAGCAGGATTTCCCATTTATTTCTCCTTGAAGCCCTCCAATCTACGCATTGGACTGAGTATTCATACTGAAATCGCATGCTAATCTTGCTCTAGACCCTAGCCACCGCTCTCACAACCCTGCACACAACGCAAATACTCACAACATCCCTCTCAACCCTGCCATCCAAAGCCACCGACCTCCCACCAGACTTGCACGCAGTTACAGAAACAGTAACCGCCCAACTCAACGGCCAAGTTCCAGCATCGGATCTCGACATTCTGTCTGAAGACATCGAGTTTTTCCACTCAAACATCGCTCCTGTCGCCTCGGCAATCTCAACCCAACTCACCACCATAGCCGACTACCTCTGCCGCATCGCCTCTCCCGTCTCCCCACCACCAATCTCATCTCTCCATAGCACATCTCTCACCCTCCAAACCTCCGCTTTTGACACCCTTCCCTCCGAACTACAAACCGCACAAACCCATCTAACAACAACCCTAACAACCCTACTCTCAACCCACTCCACCCTCCTCTCAACCAGCATAAAAATCCTCGAACAAACCCAACAAGGCGCCCTAGCCCGACACACCAAATCCTCCGCCGATCTCCTCCACACAAAAGCCATTTTACTCGGTCTGCAAGCTAAAACGCACTCGTTGCTGCACCCTCCGCCACCGGAATTCGTGGAAGCGCTGAAAGAGTTTAGGAAGGGACTGGGAGGCGGGAAGAGGGCGCTTTGGGATCGCGAGGCGTTGGCGAGACGGGAACTGGAGTTGTATGGGAAGACGGGGGAGAAGGGGATGAGGGATTTGGCGAGGAGGAAGGAGGGGTTGGGGAAGGAGATGGAGAGAGTTGAGGCGGAGATTGGGAAGTTGGAACGAGAGGGGTGATGGTGGAGGAAGTGGGTATGTCGATGATGTTGTAGGTTTTAAAAGGGTATTGGCTTGAAAGCTGCGGTCGTGGGCTTTTGGTAGCGTCTATATCTTCTTCTAATACTCATCATAACGCCGTCAAACGCCAGCTCTTACACACGCTACGCTTTTCTCTCCAGAAACGCCATACACCAATCCCCCACATCATTTCCCTGTCCCACTTCCCATCCCACGATCAAAAGATTTCCTTCTCGCAAACAACCTCATACCGCTCATCCACCACCTCTCCCTGTCCTTCCGCACCCCCACTCCAAATCTTCTTCGCGCCCATCTTGCAGATACAGACTCTATCCACCCTGACACCCTCCGCCCAGACAAAACCCTTGTACTTCTCAATCAGATTGCGGGCGTCAAAGCGCATCCAACTCTTGCCATCAGGACCATGACCTTCACCGATCGGACGGGATGACTCTGCTGTTGAAGCTTCAGCAGCATTACCATCTACCGAGCCTGCTGTCGACGCGCCGTCTTCTTCATTTCCATCATGACCATTAGCGTCTGTGTTCCCAGTCCGACCATCCACCCCATTCCCATGATGATGATGAGGCGAAACCTTCTGTTCAACAAGCCTCAACCCATCTTTCAACATCCCACTCTTACTCCTCCCCCTCCCCCCTCTCCCCTTCGGCTTCGCATAAATCGTATTCAGAACCGTAGCATGCAACCTCAACGGCCTGGTATCCTCAACCAACAGCCCCATCTCCGTGAACCTCTCTCGCAGCGCCTCAGCAAAAGGATACAACCGCTGCGACACATCCCTCGGTTCCGCATACAGGATACTCGTTTTATGCGGCGCTTGCATAGGAACCAAGGATTCTAGGTTAACAGTCAAAGCGTCCGTGTCGGGCATGGCAGCGGCATTGAGGTTCTCGGCTATCTCGCCGCTTTCGGCGGCGGCTTCTGCGACGCGGAGGTGGGTTATGTCGCGTAGGAGGGTGTGCAGGTCGAGGTCTAAAAGGTATTCTTGCGCTGAGGATAGTTGCTGCGGGGAGAGACTCATTACGCCGAGGGTGAGGTGCAGGGTGCCGACTAGTCGGACGGCTTTCGTGGGGACGGGCCCATCTTTTGATAGCTCTTCTTTGAAGTTTTCGAGTCTTTGCTGGAGTTGTGGGCGGCTTGAGTCGGTGACTAGGGGGAGACAGAGGAAGTGGGTGAGTTGTGGTTTCTTTGCGCCGCCTTTGCCTGGTTTCTTGCTGTCTTTCTGGTCTTTTTGTACTGATGGTGATGGGATGTCTCGAGATGCAAAGCCCTGTAATGTCGTCCTGATCTCGGTGTTGTCGCGCAGCTTCTCGCCATCTAGGAAATCGTTGTATTCGCCTTTCGACTTCTTTTTGCCCATGATTGGTGATGTGGTGTGAAATCCGACAGAGGAAATTTGATCTGAATGAACGTATTGGGCTTTCCTAGCTGCTCTGTTCTTTGCTAGGCAACGAGTGGAGTGCGTAATAGCAGTAGTAACAGTAGTGCGTCGGCTGATTGGTCCAGGCGCAGCTCGATGCAAGACCGCCGCAAAGAGCATGAGAAAACAAGGAAGGCGCGAGAAGCGCAAGGAGCGTCTAAATGAAGGGTTCACGGCAAAGAAAGAGCGATTCTAGGCGCGCCGAACCAAACGCCACATGATCCCACGGCAGCACCGGCAAGACTACCACGGCGGAACCGAGAAAAGGGCCTGACGATGGAACCACTCATGGTGTTGACTTTTCATGGGGCGCGGTCTTGAGCCTAACAAAGCGTGCTTTCCAACCTATCAGACGCAACACCAAGTTCGGCAACGCCATGTGCGAAGAGTGACGTAGGTCCCGAAGGTGGGGTGGGTGACATGCGCCGCCGCTGGGCACACGTTCGGCCCTTCACCCGTAGGGCTGAGGAACGTTCCATGTCACAGAGTATATAGTTCAGAGAGGGGTTAGCATGGTATTAGTTCCAATGGATGATACTTGTCTAAAGTATTTACAGCTGCATTGCGATCATGTGAAGTGTTACTCTGCGCTTGAGCAACAACACATTCATCATGACGACAGGGAGAGTTAACATTCATTCGTAATCTATGCAAGTGCGATGGAACCAAATAGACAAATTGAGGGCAAGCTATGTAGAGTACTGGAATTTCCTCGCTGACCCGATGACGGCATGTACACAAAAAGCGCTCCTAGGAACGTGAGATGGTGGAATGTCGCGCAGGAGAAAGTTCGTCAAGGATGAGGACGTGTCGCGGTAGAGCGGAGAGCCCGGAGTCGCAATAGTCGCTCCGTGAAGCGTACGGTCCTAGACTTGGCTACTACCGATACCGACTCCTCCAGCTGAGCGTGGCGAGTGCGAGACTGGTGTGCTCGCGCCGTAGCTCTGGCTGATGCGGGCTCTATTTCTTTGCCGCAGTAGGAGAGGGCGCGGCTTCTTCTTCCGCCTCCTCCTCGTCGCCCTCGTCCTGGTAGAACTTCTTGAGGATTTCCTTGACGTCGGTGAACTCCGTCTTTGCCTGCTTGATGATCTTGGCCAGGTTCTCCTGCGCCTTCTCCTCTGTTATGTCCTTGGTGCCCGCGTCGTCCTTGAGCTGGCCGTAGTGTTGGATTTTCTCGCACGAGTCTTTGACTTTGGTGAGGCCGAGCGTGGCGGACGAGCCCTTGAGGAAGTGGCCTAGCTCACTAAGCTCCTTGAGGTACTTGCCCTCCTTCTTCTCGCTGGATGGCGTTAGTCGTCGCGCGCATATCGCAGGGCGCGCATGGGGCACTCACAGCTCCTTGTCCATCTTCTTGAAGGTCTGGTCGGCCTGGCCAAAGAAGTCGTAGACGATGCTTTTGCTGAACTCGCGCTCGACCTCGTCCTCGTCCATCTCGAGAATCTGCTCAAAGGTGGCTGGGTCGATCTGGTCCTCGGCGCCAGGGATCGACATGATGTCGCCGTTCTGTGGGGGGAGGTTTAGGTTAGGAGGTTGAGCTATAGATAGGCGCGTGTTGCGACAGTGTTGTAGGGACAGCAGGCGGATGACACGTGCGGAGAATTGCAGACATGGAGGGGCCAGGCAGGAGCAGGCAGGCAGGACATGGAGGGGCAGCACGAACCTTGTCGTCGGTAACCGACATGCTGAACAGGACGCAACAGCAAATCCGATTTACGGGAAGCGCTCTTCAACCTCGCGGGATGCTGTCGACACCTTCGTGTACTGGCGTCGCAGCGCTTCAATGCTCGTGGCGCGACGGTGACGGATATTTTTTCGCGCCTCAGTAGTGGGCCGTGCGGCTGTCCGATTCACTGGCTGCGGCTCGATGGGGCTTAGTGGATGACGAAAGGGTCGGCCCGTTGTTGCTGTGAGCGCCGTTGTTAGAGCTGCTGTCTTCTGCAGAGAGCAATGTCTCGGGACGCAGGGCAGAGTGGGAGATGTGAGTGTGACTGCTACGCTGCCTACCGAACTACTACGTACAGAAGCCCTCTTAGTCTAGTCAACCCCTCTGCTCGTTTAGTCGCTATAGTCTCGACGGAAGCGGCTGCCGAGGGAAGCGACAAAGCTATCCTGTTCGCGGTAGATTGGGACGACACGTCGAGTCGGTGAGATAAGAAGAAAGCAATTTGTGGCACTGGTGGTCACGGGCACGCTGCTCATATACAGCCGCGAGGGTTCTAGAAGTGAGATTGGCGATGTTTGCATCACCATAAAAGAGGGGGGCCACGGAATCATAGGCACAGAAATAAGGCCTCGCTATATGTGGGTGGATACCTCGACGTCAATCGGCAGCCTTCACTCGCCGTGGATCGCCTGTCACAGAGCCAACTCTGCCCTCTTCCAGCGGCTGACTGGCGACCATGCCCCCCATCGCCCTCATCGGCTGGCCGGCCAAAAGTAAGGTAACGCGCCCGGGTCGTGTGTGGAGTCTGCCCTCTGACCTGGCAGCTTGCCCGCACCGTGGTATCTTCTGCGGCTGATGGGGCTAGTTGCGACCCTCGCTCGCACCGCTTTGTCCCGTCGGCAGAGCAGACCATGGAGTGCGCAAAGACTGGAAAATGAGTGCGGTTGACAGGGCGCCAAGAAGGCCTGGAAGCGTTCGAAAGTCTGCCATTTCCCGCTGTTGGAAGGGGGCAGGGCGGGGTGCCAGCGTACGAATATAAAGAAAGACGAGGGTTGGTTTTCGTCGTGAGAACAACGACGTCACTCCGCCAGCCATCGTCATCGTGCATGCTCACCCGGACCCTGAAAACTCATTTGCTGGGTTGGGCTAGCAGCATGTACCGCGCACAAGTACCTCGACAGGTCGCCGTTGGATTCCATGCTTTGCGCGCTCTCAACGGCCGTGTAGAGGTCCTATTAAGACAATTCCAACCTCTGCCAGCACATGCGTCTTGGAAACGAATAAACGCCATAGGCCCGGGCACCCACTCCACAGACAGGCATGCACCTTGGACCCTGACCTCTTTTCTCGCAGAAACCTGCAATGCACCTGAATCATGCTCGTTCGTCCGGCCTCCTCCGAGCTGCAAAGCTTCGATACTTTCCTGTTGCTGGAGCAGGGGCTACGGATGACGGAAGCAATAGTGCGTAGAGGCGTCTGGGATCAGCGTTCGTGATGCAGACGTGCAGGACAAGGAACCTGCGGATCGCAGCTGCAGGGTCACTGAGTGGAGTGGTTAGCGTGACGGTTTCATCGGTACGGTCACTTGCTGAACGATGCGGTGTGCGGTACCGGCGCAACTTGTCGAACCGTGAAGCACACAAAACTTGGCTTCGTTGTTTTCGGAGACCTTGGCGCGACACAAACCGAAGCAGCTCCGGCTGTAGGGCTTGAACACCCTTTTGGTATTCCGCATATGCAAGTGAGTAAAACCGGACAGGTAGGCGTGCGTTTGTCATTCGCGATCACGATGTCCCAGCGCACGGGAACTAGCGTCATTGCACAGTGCTGTGCGAGTTATCAGCGATACTATGCTAGGTAATGATCTGTATATTACCGATGAACTCGCAAACGACAGGACCAACCACTCGTGGGGTGTGGGGATAAAGTGGGTGAAGTCTGAGTGGGAACAAAACTTCGGTGAAGGATTGGAGGATCGACGAAATTAAACGAATCAGGTACTTCGATCCGAGAACACAAAAGACGGCATGAGGAGGTTGCAAGATCGTGAGCCGTTTCATTCCTTGTATGCTTTTTCATTGTATAATCTAGCCGCCGATGCTGTCTGCACGGTACAATGCTGCGCCATGTTATGTCACAAGGTTTGCTGAATCACGAAAGGAAGTAGAACACTGTCATGACGATCCTAACCCTTGACCTTGTAGATGGCCTCGGCCAGGCGGCCGACGTTCTCGCTGGTGATACCCGCGACCGAGATACGGCCGTCCTTGGTAGCATAGACTGAGTGCTGTCATGGCGGTTAGCGCTGCGGATGTCAAGATGGTTGCAAAACATAAACTTACCTCCTTCGCTAGCTTGTCCATCTGCTCGGCTGTCAGACCAGTGTAAGCAAACATGCCAATCTGGGAGGTGATGTGGCTCCAGTCGTGCTTGCTGCCGAGCTTCTCGAGGTTCTCCTTGAGGAGGGCACGCATGGTGATGATGCGGTCAGCCATGCCCTTGACCTCACCGAGCCATTGCTTGTTGAGGGAAGCGTCGTTCAGAATCTCAGAGGCAATGCGTGCACCGTGAACTGGAGGGTTAGAGTACAATGGGCGGACGAGAATCTTGATCTGAGAGTCAACGCGCTTCTTCTCGTCGGCAGACTCGCAGACGATGGAGAAGGCACCAACACGCTCGCCGTAGAGACCCATGTTCTTGGCGAAAGACTGAGCCAGGCAGGGGCGGAGGCCCTCCTTGATGAAGTGGCGGAGAGCGAAGGCATCCTTGGTGGTGTCACCACTGGCAAAGCCCTGGTAGGCCATGTCGAAGAAGGGGTAGTGGTCGCCAGCCTTGACAGCCTCAGCGATCTGAACCCACTGCTCCTCGGTAGGGTCTACACCAGTAGGGTTGTGGGCACAGGCGTGGAGCAGGACGATGCTGTTCTTGGGCATGGCCTTGATGTCGGCCACCATGCCGTCAAAGTCGAGGCCAATGGTGTCCTTGTTGTAGTAGCGGTACTTCTCGACCTTGAGGCCGGAGTCTTTGAAGACAGCGTTGTGGTTGGCCCATGACGGCGTGGGAATGTAAATGGCCTTCGCGCCGGGGTAGTGACGCTCGAGGAAGGCACCACCAATGCGGAGGGCACCGGTACCGGAGATGGTCTGGGTGACGGCGATGCAGTCGTCGTTGAGGGGCGTAGAGTCGGCGCCGTATGCGAGCCTGAGGGCAGCCTTGGTGAAGTTGGGGACACCGGTGATGCCGGCGTATTCCTTGTCGAGCGATGACTTGACAATCT